TATAGGCTGTTGTCGAACTGGAACGGCTTGTTGAAGTCATTCGTCACTTCATCCCAGTTAGGGAACTGCTCCATCGGCGCCATCGCCTCCTCTAGCATCAGCCCCTCAAATTCGGCCCCGCCGTCAAGTCCGTCCATGTTGATGTTGTTCATATCAAGAAGCACGTCCATGTCGACTGGTTGCCAGTTGAGGTCTATGTCCAGGTGGACACCCTCTGAAATATCGCTGTTGGGCTCCGATGATCCACTGTCCTTGCTCGACTCGGGTGTATCGTTCGGTGTCTGTGACCGGTACACGGCCATGTCACTGATGACGCCGTTGGCGCCGAGCTCGAACTTGCCGAGGTTGTTGAACAGGCTCTGTGGGTTGACCGTCGTTGCCCACGCGTCCATCGTCGGAGCCGGTGCCGCCGCCATCTCGGGCTGCTTGTGCTCCATCTTGGGAGTGTTGTCCGTCTTGCCAACCGCAAGCTTGTTGTCCTGTGCCTTCCCTCCCACCTTGCTGCCCGTACGCTGCATCGACGCATCTCGAGACATTGGCGTTGCACCCGGATTGCTGGCTGGTGTTTGGCCTTGTTTGGATGCGTTCTGGCCCATTGGCTGTGCAGTGACTGGCACCTGACCGTTGGCATCCAATCCCAAAGAGAGAGCCAAGTTTTCTTGCATGAACTTCATGGGATCCTCCAGAGGCTTGACATGCTCTTCTTGAATATGCGTCTGTCGCGCCTGCTCTGAAGGGAACCCCGTTGTTGCCATCTCGCAGTCTGCCTCGGGGCACAAGAACATGGGTTTTGGCGGCGCCTTGGGTTCGGGCATGGCCTGCCTCTTGAGTTCCGGGGAACCAGACTTGCTGATCTGGGGCGACGGGGTTGTCTGGCTCGGCTGCTGGGGCGGCGTCGGTTGCGCCCCAGTCTTGGCCTTCTTTCGCGGGTTGGGCAATTTCAGGTTGTCCCTGTTCACCTTTGGCCTGTCCATGTAAGTAGGATCGCCATGCGGAGAGGTTGCGTTGAACGGGAATGGAGGCTGGCTCGTCGTTGGTGCAGCTGGGGGGGCCCCGCTCTTGCTGTTGGACCGCTGGTGCATATTGTTCAAAGCCTTGGTCTGCTTCTCCAAGTTGGCCGCACTCAATGGCGTCACCTGCCCGCTTTGAGCAGGAGTAGCACCGGCCTGGTTCGGCGCTGCGGGTTGGCCTTGCTGTGGTGGCACGGCACCGGCTTTCTTGCCGAGGGAGGCACAGTCGCGCGCCATGCTCTCGAGGAGTCGACGAACCTCGTCGATCTCGGCGGGCCTGACACTGAAGACTGGCTTCGGGTTCATCATGTGTTCACCGTCGGTGAACTGTCTGATCATACGGAGTCGCTAGATCATGTTAGTAAATTGTCAACGTCCAGTAACGCGCATGATTGTCCACTTACAGCTCGGAAATAGCTCTTGGCGCGCTGATCATCACGAGTTGCGGCATACCAGCGTCCCAGGGCCTTTCCAATCTTGCCCATGTCGACCACGATCTTCATGAGCTTGGTGCAAGTCTCTGTACGCTGCTCTGGTGACATGGGGATATCAGGCATATGCTCCGTCATCATCAACCTCTGCTCTTCTTGACCGATGCGCCTGAGCTTGTCAAAGTCGTTCTCCGTAGGTGCAATGCCCGAGCTTGCAGCTTGCATGGCCTGTTGACGACTCTTCATTGCCTCGTACTTGGCCCTCTGCTCGGGATTCATGGCCGCAATTTGCTCTGGGGTAAAGTTCGGGAACGGGCGCATCTGGCCTGGTTGGGCAGTCGGCCTCTGAGGCTGCTGAGATGCCTGAGGGACGTCGGCAGGCTCGTCAGTGCTAGGTCGCTTGAGGTTCTTCTGCTGCGTCGCAGGCGAGGGATTCGGAGGCTGTGCTTGGTTGCTCGAGGCCGGACGGTTGTTGTTGTTGTTGGTGTTGTTCTGTGGTGCCGCGGCGTTGGCAACAGCCTTCTGATCAGGAGTAGCGCTCTGCTGCTTCGGCGGTGCCGGTGGCGCTTGCGCGGGCGTCGGGGTGATATTTGCGGGTATACCGGGCTGTGGCATTTGAGGTGGTTGAGGTGCAGACACTGGGATGGTTGGTCCTCCCGGCGCCGGTAGCCCTTGTGATTGAGCCTGGCGCATGGCCATCTCTTTTTGCATCGCGGCAGCCATCTGCCGTTGCTTAATCTGGATGATGAACTGTCTCAGTTGATCGTCGGTAAGGCTAGCAATCTTGGGGTTCGCCTTGCGAGCGTTCATGATATCAGTTGGCGTCACCTGAATCATGTGAGCTGGAATACTCGGCATGCCAGGCGGCATGCCTGGTTGGTTGGGTGCCTGCGGATTCTGTACGCCGTTGCCGGGCTGCATCCCATTCTGTTGTGGCTGCGCTGGTCCTTGAGGTTGAGCTTGTTGAGGCGGCTGTGCGATTTGCTGTAGTTGAGCCTGTGGCGGGACCTGCTGAGGCGGCTGAGATTGTGGCGGTTGCGGTTGCTGCGTTTGTTGCTGCTGCGCTGCCGCCGCTGCTGCCTGCTGCTGATTGCGTTTCTCCATCTGCCTCTGCATGTAGGTCGCGAACTGCGATCTCTGAATTCTCTCGAGATGTTGTTGCAACTGTGGCTGTACGGGGTTTTGTGCAAGCCATTGTCGTAGGTCCTTCCACTTGCGTACCTCAGGAGGAGCGCGAAGCTGGTTTCCTACTTGCTGGAGGACTGGTGGCGGTAGCTCCATGCTGTCCATCATGACTTGGTGAGCCGGTGCTACAGGTGTTTGCTGGTTCCTCAATCGGTTCAACATCTGCTGTTGCTGGGCAATGAGTTGCTGCTGGTTGTTAGGAGCAGGAGCACCTGGTTGCGCTTGCTGAGGCATCATGCCGTTGTTCATGAACTGATTGCCATTGACAACGTTGAATTGTCCAAGTTGCCCTGGTCGACCCTGCATCTGGCCTGGGTTGCCCATAGCATTCATTTGCATCTTGCGCTGTTGCTCCTGCCACTTCTGCATGACTTCGTTCAGCTTGTCTGGTGGCAGACCGTGGACAGCCTGCCTTTGCTCGGGATTCATGCTTGCCATCATGCTGTGGAAAAGCGGGGTGTTGGTCATGTTCATGTTGCCCGCTGCGCCCATCGGCCGTTGGTTGCCCTGGTTGAAACGGGGGTCGAGAGTGCCAGCAAAGGGACCATTTGCCTGTTGCCCATTCTGGCCTTCCATGGGATTCATGGCACTCGGAGGACGGCGCATGGGGGTGTTCAGGGTGTTCATACCCGGGCTCTGGGATGGCGGTGCGCCACCGAGACCGTTCGGCTGCCCCTGTAATTGTCTGGCTTGCTGTTGAGCACGCATCTGTGCCGCGTGTTGCGACTGCTGTTGCTCAATTTTGAGTTGTTGCGCCTGCTGCATACTCAACTGTTGCTGAGCCTGGTTTGGTCGCGGTGTTTGATTCTGTCCAGGTTGATTAGGCATTCCCTGACCTTGACCCCCAGCGATGGGTTGCGGCGTGGCGTTGCGCGCTGGGCCGTTGCTCGCAGGTACGACCATCTGGCCTTGCTCCTGGGCTAGTATGCCCGCCTTTTGTTGGTTCATGATGCTCTCCATGGTGAACTGGCCAAAGTCCCCATTGCCAGACTGCATATTTGCCGCGTTCATCATCGCCGGGTTGATTTGTCCTCTGCCGGCTTGCATCATGGCTTGGGCTTGAGCAGGGTTCATGTTGGGCGGCATGCCGCCCTGTTGCTGTCGCTGCCTGGCCAGAGCGGCGTTTTTTGACAGGCCTTGGAAGGCCTGGTGCTGGAACCAGATCAAGACCGGATCCTTGCCTTGAGCGGTGTACTCCTGTGCCCTCTGTGCAAACCGGGTCTGCACAATATTGCGGTAGTGATTCTTCTGGGGATCGGGGCAGGCGGATGCCATTTTTTGGGCGAGTTCCATCACCTTTTGCTGATCGTGCGGTGTGAGGTTTGAGGCGTCGGTGGGAATGCCGTTTTGTGGTCGTCCTTGTCCACCGGGCATCTGGAACATCTGCTGGTTGGGCCCTATCGGTTGGCCACCTTGGTTTCCCATGTTCACACCCATCTGGCCCTGTTGAGGAATCTGCGACGCCTGCATCTGGTGCTGGAGATGCTGGAAGCCCTGCTGTTGGTTCTGGCCCATTCCTCGCCCCATCTGGTTCTGCATAGCCGCGTTTTGGTTCATCATGAGCTGTTGTTGAGCCTGTGCCGCAGCTTGGGCTTGGAGATTGCTGGTCATGGTCTGCTCGTTCGCCTGTCGTCGTCGGAAGAACTCGTTCGTCTTGTTGCTCATTTGGGCCTCGTATTGAGCCTACATCATCATGTTAGTGTTTCCCTAGTGGTGGAGAGACATCATGGCGAAACTTCTTCGCTCAAATTCTTACCTTATCTTGACACTTGTTGAAGGCATCGCGCTCGAAGTTTACGCCAACTTCTGCCGCCTTCATGAAATCTATGCTGGGCACGGCAAGGCCAATGTTTGTGATCCTGGAGAAAAACGTCGTGTCAGTCACGGCGCGACACAGGGCAAGTCAGAGGGTGAAAGTCGAACTCAACGTACAAGTTATGGCACTTGATCATGCGCTCCTGGATAGCCACGCCAGCTTGCCAGCCTGTGTGAGGCTGTTGCTGGGCGAGCATGGTCTGGTAAAGAAACTGGTTCAACTGAACCTGGGAGGGTCGGGGACGCGGCGGTTGCTGTTGCATCATTCCCGCCGCTCCCGCCATGTGTTGCATGTTCGCGGCCATGGCCGCTTTCCACGGGTTTTACACAAGTCTTCTACGGCAATTCGAGAACCGATCGTTTCGGTCGGCAATGGACCAGGGACCTTCGATCGACTGCTGTGATGAGGTCTGCGGTCCAGTGGTCGGAATGGTGGGAGAGAATTTTGATCGAGTTGAAAGGTCCAAAGCTTAGAAGTGTTGCTGGTCTGGTTTTGTTCTTAACAATGAGGCACGGAGCCGTTGACTGCCTGCAGGGTGCCTAACGACTTGCGACAGGCATGAAGGAGCTAGTCGGGTGCGGTAAGCGACGGGAAAGCCGGTGTTGCGCTCGTATAAGTTGTTGTGATGCCACGCAAAAATCCTGTTCGTCGTCGGTGGGCGTCCTGGAGTAGTGAGGAGGATGACGAGGCAAGTGTGGGTGGTAGTTCGGCGGTCTCGTCTCGTGTTTTTCGTTCACGCAGATTACGTGGAGTCGTCAAGGGACCCGAGCGCCTGGTTCAGCAACGACTTTGGATGTTGCGCCAGTCGCTGTGGCATGAGTTTGAGAAAGGAAGATGCAGACGACTCGACTGGAGAGAGGAGTGAAGAGCAAATGACCCGCGACGAGAGGTGGCTGTCGGTGGTGGGTTGTTGTGGTTTCGGTTGTGTCCGTCCAGGAGCGGCGGAAATTCCAGAGAGTGGAGGGTGGGCGTGGACAGCCGCAGGTCGAGACAAAGCGAGCCGGGGGTGGTCTGCGAAAACAGGACGGTACTGTGCGTAGCAAATTATGCAATACAAGCTTGTCGTCTCTGCAGGCGTCGCCAAATTCTGGATTGGTGAACAGCGGCGACGAGTACGACGAGAAGCTCACGAAGAAAAGAGGAAAAATCGACAACAACGACGGAGCGGCCGTGTGGAGTGTGTTGTAGGAAGAGAAAAAGAGGTGGAAGAGATGGCTGCTGCGAGAGATAGAGAGAGAGAGAGAGAGAAGAGGTGTGTGCGTGCGTGCGTGGTGCGTGTGGTGAGTGCAGTGAGCAATGGGTTACGGCAGAGGACGGGATCGTTGGGCGTGGTGGAGCCTCCTGGAGATGGGCTTTGCTCGCTCAGTGCCAGTTGATTTAGGTTCTGGTGGGCTCAGGATTGGCGCCCTTTTAAGCGTGGAGCCTATTTTTGCCTGTGGTCGACGGTCGACTAGGGTGGCTGAAACGACAACTGGACGAGGAGATGGAGGTGGGAAGCTGTCGTCGTAATCGCCCTATATCGCGAATAGACGCTCGTTCACCTTTTTCTGGAGTGAATCAGATGAGCAAGGTGAGAAAAGAGAAGAAGAGGAGGGGATTCCAACCATTCTCCCAAAGAAGAGGGGTGACCAGGCGACTGACTGCTGAGAAGGAGGGCCCGGAGGAAGAGGAGGAGAGGTGGTGACAGAATACCTAGTCGTGTGTAGAGAAAGAAAGGGAGGGAGGGAGGACGTATCCGTAGCAAGGTGGACGAGGATGAGGTCGGAGGTCGGAGCAGGTAAGTAGGTGTATTCGTACGAATAGAATGGTAGTAGGTAAGGTAGGGCGAAGAGAGAGAGGAAGAGGGCGCTCGCAGTGAAGAAGCAGGTCTGGTGGTGGTGGTGGTGGTGGTGGTGGATGTGAGTGAGACTGTGAGAGTGACTGGAGACGAGGTGCCTGGCACCATGAGCGTGAGTACGTGGGTGGTGGTGGGAGACCAGACAGAGAGAAGAGAGGATGGGCTTGGATGGGGCCTGCAGGGCGGCGAGATGCGCAGGTGGAGAGGGGAGGGCGTGCGACGATGAGTGGACGACAGCGCGGATTGGTGAGAGATGATTGGACGAGAGCCTGTGAAGGAGGGGGTGTGGTGCTAATCTGGAAGTGGGGGGTGGGAGGTAGCTGTGGGAAAGAGCAGGGCAGCGCAGCAGGAGCAACAAGAGGCAAGCCGCAACAGCCAGGTACCGGTGAGCTTAGGAAGGTGCACGAGGTACCTTGCCTCACTTCACGTGCAAGGGTCGTCACCACCTTAGGTACCTGAAGTTGGCGAGGGAGAGACGGGAGTTTCTGCTGGACGTAATTCTGTTGTTCTCTTCCCATTTTTCAATTGATAAAAGTAGGCCAGATGTTGATTCCGTATAAGTCTCTATCCGTATCTGTGCTTTGAATACTTGAACAAGGTTGCGGCCGTTCGTCCCGGCAAGAGAGAGAATGGTCTTGGTCATGAGGGCCGGGCATTCGGTGTAAGTTGAACTTGAGGTGAGGGCCGGGTGGGCAGCGAGCCCGTACCCTTGGGCAGTAAGGTAGGAAAGGTACCTTGGGACGAAAAGGTACACACTTCACACTTCGCACCAGGGCAAGCGCTGCACAGCAATACCGGCATGCAAAAGACAGGGCAGCCGCCGCAGCCCATCCTTTTTTTTTTTTGCGGTCCTTCACAACCTGCCAACCAGTGCGCGCCTGCTCGCCAACACCGACTGCATTGGCATCAGGATATGGACTGGACTGTGAGGTGCAATGGAGACTGGCATTGGAAGACTGGGGAGGGGGGATAAACATGGACGAGGAAAGACGGGCAAGGTACGGAGTACCTTTCTACATAGTATGTACTGCGTAGGTATCCATCCGTATAGAGGTAGGGGGGAAGGAAGGAAGGAAGGGAAGGGAAGGGAAGCCAGGCGGGCTAAAGTGGGCACCTGGCGAAAATGGGGGACCCTCTTCCTTCCTTCCTTTCCTTTTCTTTCCTTTGCGCAGTTGGTGATTTTTTATTTCATTATTCTACCTATCCAATGCTTTATTTCATTTCTCATGTGGTTCCTGGCTTCCCGCCCTCGGGCCTTAGGAAAGACTACCTTAGTCTGTACCTCATCTATCTCACATATTCGCAGAATCTAATACTCTTTTGCACTCTGGCACTCTGAGAGGGGAAAACCAGACCAGACAGGCAGGGCAGGGACTGGGACGTGGATTGTGAGAGGGGAGGGGGGCTGATGTGGTATTAGTGACAGGGGGGTGCGGTCAAGATACCTTGGACACACGACGCACATTCTCCGTCTGCCTCCATCTCTCACTCCCCGTTGCCCATACTGTGTAATGCCACCAGCAAGCAGCCCTCTCTGCCACTCTATCCGTACCATTTCTTACTCATTCTCCGAGTTCCTATTGCACATCGTCTGAACCTGGTTTGAAGCCCTATATTCTCGCAGCGACATCTCCAGTGGTTGAGACTGATGCGAAAAAAAAAAAAAAAAGAGACCCAGCATTTGTCAACATGTACCAGTCTATCAGCGCAGCGGTGTAGGAAGCGGTCAACAATGGTCCGCGATACTCTTGACTGTATGTGTATCATGGGTGCTAACACGACACAACCTGGTAGCCAACTCTAGACTCTGTGTGTACTTCGTACCTCGAGCCCAGGCCGTCCGGGTAAGCCTTTGACATCCAGCCAGAACCGATATCTACCATGTACACCTAAACACCTTATTGCGTACACAAACTGCCCAAGGTATGTCTCCGTACCACATACGCCTATCCAAGGCGCATCAGAATAACGCTCCGGGAACGAACGACGTTGACGAACGACATGGTGCGAGTGTGGTGGTGTCCTCGCCTCATCTGCTTCATCTAACCTTTGGAGAGCTTCTTTCACTCCATGCCAACCGACGACGGTACAAAGAACAGACAGACCGAAGGGGTCAGTGCCGGGGGCCAGGGTCAGAGCCAACCTCGATACCGGACCCCGTATGTCTGATGTACCCTGCCTTGGCCTTGCCTTGGCCGTCTTCTTCTTCTGTCTGCCCCCCTCCGAGGCCATTCCAAAAGGTTTCCAGCTTCGGGGGCGGTCATGATTACTCACGAAAAAACGGATAGAGTACCGAGTACGGAGTACTGCTGTTCATCTCCCTCCAGATGCTAAGCCTGGATGAGCCACGTACCGGATATCCACCATCAATTCACCAGCCTGTTATGCCACATTGCGATGCGACGATCACCATGAAGCTCTCTCCAGCAGATCGTGGAGGAGCAAATCCCATGGCCATGGCCATCTCTCGAAACCCCCCAGTCACGCGTCTCGCTCGCCAGTGATTTAACTACATCACCCGGTGAGCAGGGCAAGGCAAGCCGGTAAGGACCGGCACGGCTACGCCACCATCCACGGCACCTCGTCTGTTCCCAGTTACCAGGGACCTGCCCCGGGCAATCCGCGATGCGAGAGGCAAAGGAATGTAGAGGAATTTCGACGTCCCCAATTCTTCATCTCGGTCTTGGTACGAAGAACCAGTTAGTAGCTGGGCCATTCCTAGTTACCTAGTACCAACAGACCCTTTCTACATTCCATCTCATTTCTGCGCCGGGTTCTCTGAGGTGGTCGTCGACTTTCTGCAGCTTCCAATGGTTACGCCGCGCATTCTTGAAGCCTGGCAGAATCAACACTCGGTCCGTCGATACAATCCAATGTCTCTCCCGAGTCCAGCCATGGCAAGACATTGGCCCATTTGCGAGTTCCTCCCACCCTAACAAAGTGCGAACGGATACATAGGCGGCCTGCCCCGGAATAGTGTTGGAATAGATGCAGGCCAACCGTCAACCTTTTTCCCAGACCGAGCCTCGTTTGTCTTTGCCTCATTTCTTCTTATCCCCTTCCCTCTCGTCTTGCTTCCCAGGTGGGCAAGTAAGTTTTCATTCCTGTTCCTTTTCCTGCTTCCGATTACCAGTTGAACCATTCTGCCGTCAAACTCTTGTCATTCCTATTCGCCCGTCGTCTTGTCTCCCACAGATCCTCACGACCCAGCAACATGGTCCTCAAGTCCGAGTCCTTCCCGCCCACGCATTCCCCAATTCGCGTTTCGGCGCTTCGTTGCTTTATTCTTCTTGTCCCCGTCACACTGGTGTCCCTGCTCCTGTCAGGTACACCTGATGGGAGACAAAGCCGAGGTGCCTACTGAGAAGAAGGAGCTGCGAATACAACAACGTAGCAGGGGATATTTGCCCTTGCATTGATGCTTTGCATATCCGTACTGTACAGACTACAGACTACGCAGTACAGACCAGAGGTCATTGGCGAGGAAGAATCTTGACCGCAAGCCGGTACTTTGCGCACTAGAGAACCTCACATGGCGTCTGTAGCAGGGGGAAAGCCATGCAAAAATTGATTCGCGGTGTGTGTAGCGTCTCATTGTGGTCAGGAAGGGCACGCCCACCTAGCAGAGACGGAACGGGACCCTCTCAAAGAACCGCATCCGCAAACCACACAGACTGAGAGAGGAAAGAGAGAGACAGAGAGGGAGACAGAGAGAAAAAGCTCGAGGCTCACGGCTCGTGGCTCAAGTTGCTGCTTTTTCCCCCCAACACGCTGCACAAAGTACTCCAGGGTGATCCTTGTCTAGTTCGATTGCACACATGGGCGCTAGACCTGAAATGATCAAGCCGTGACGGCCTGCTTCTCACAAGGTGGGAGGAGGTACCTGAGCTTGTGCCAAGTGACCGCGGCGGTATGGAGACGTGACCTGGCGGTGTATCTGCTGGCAATCCCGTACTTGTTTTTTTCAAAAGTGTCATCTAGCTTCTATCAGAGGCGACAAAAAAAAAAGGCAGTGTGCGAGTTGGAGATGCGTTGAACGTTGGAACTTCAACGGGGAGGCCCAAGACGACGGGTAAGCCGCAAGACCAGGACCAGGACCAGGACCAAGGAATGGACGTTGGTATTAGGCTCATCCACATCGATCCATCTCAATATGAGGAAAGCGTTGCAGCGAAACGGGACGAAGTACATGCGTGCCGGGAGGAGAGAATAACAAGGGCGCGGAGGCACGGATGCACGGGGCCACGAGCACCCTGCGAGTCCCAGATTTCAGTCAAGCTACGTAGTACGTATCCTTAGTGCCCACCCACCACTGCCACATTGTCCACCTCTGCAGACTACTGTCTGGCATCGAGAATATACCACAGTACGAATCATTGTATTCGTACAGAGACGCAATAGAGACATCCCAGCTGACCAGTTCGTGACTGACAAAGTGAAGTAGGTAGATTGGCGCCACCCGGGTTTGCGACGCCGCGTCTCCAGCCTCGACAGGAACCCGTCAGCCTACCATGTTTATTCTCAAGTCTACGGACGATGCTCCGTCCAGCCATCCCCAACCAACCCCGGACGACATGTCTCCCGCGGCTCCGAACCGGAGTCCAGATGGGCTTTGTTCGGGGCCACAGCATCGAGGCCTGGGTATCACGGTCCCAATCTGGTCTCGTAAGTTCACTGTTTACCTGCAGCAGGTGTTGAGAAATGTGCCGGTGGGCAGGGCATGATCAGACACCAGGATGTTTGCATGTCGCAGACTCGCAGTTGGGCCCTATTGCCCTACACTACGGATCGTTCACCGAGTAAGTTGATCTCGGGGTGTAGCAAAGATCATCCGCCTTATCATGTCTCGAGTCACAGTCACACACTACTCACTGCATCAAGGCCAGCCAGATGCATACCCTCTCCATCTTTCTCTCTCTCTCTCTCTCTCTCTCTCTCTCTCTCTCTCTCTCTCTCTCTCATTCATATTTTGTGACTAAACTTGCCCACCATGATCGATCGGGGATCCGGCCGGGCCCTGGGAGACCATCATGGTCCACGTCAGGTTTCCTCGACGACGGTCCGCACTCCGTACCCTTCATTCCTCCTCCATTCGCGGGCACTCTGGGGTTGGCGCAGGCCGTGCACCTTACTCACCACATACTGCATCTGAGAGTGCCTGCACCCAAAGAAACGAAAATCGACAACCACACTCAGAGCAGGCAGACCCGAGTGAACACACAGGGTCAGCGTTTGGGTGTTTGGAAGGGGGGGGGGAGTAAAGGGACCCTTCAAAGGCAACGGCTGGGGCTATCATCTGAACGGGGGGGACGGCCATTAGATTGGGGCCTTGCGCGCGACGACGCTTTTACTACGAAACCTTGTGCCAAAATAAGGTGCTTCACTCTCTCTCAATGCGGCGAGATGAGCACAAGCAAAAGTGTCACACAAAAGTATGAGAGATTGCGCATCTCACCACACTGCATCAGTTGAGCAGTATGAGCCTCAGAGAAACGTCGCAGAGATATAAGGTGATTGACTGCTGGGGTTTGGTGGTCTTGGTGATGGTGGATGACTAACGAGCAGTCAGTCCCGTCGGGTGTTAGTTGGATCAGAGAGAGATGCAAGAGTCAAGAGTCATACTTCGTACAGAGAGGCTCTGAAGCAAGTGGAGGGATCCGCATCCCCGTACGAAATACACCGACCGTAAGGTAGATATGGGATAAGGTAATGTAGGTAACCGGGGGGGGGGGGGGAGGAAAGTGTAAAGGCTGCCCGTGGACATCAAGTCAGGGACCTGAGGTGGAATTAATTAGGTTCTTCCAAACCGGCTCCAATCTAGAAAGAAACAAGGTGTTGGTTGGCAGGTTTGGGGCCCTGGACTTTGGGAGAGTCGAGGCATCAAACGGACGAGAGAGATCTGCAAATCTTCTTCTTCTTCTCCTTTGTGTTGGGGCTTTTTTTTTTCTGCCAGTTGTAATCTACCTGCTTTCTAAGGTTGACTTTTTGGCCCCGTCGTGGAGAAAATCATGGTGAGGCTACCTTAATTGTGAGGGAGAATAAAAGAGAGAGACTTTTGTCCGTGGGCATTGTCAATTTCATTTCTGCCAAGAATCATTTCCAGAGATACTTTGGACGAGATATATAATCGGCTTTCTGTTTAATTGATTACTCTCTGGATTGGGTATATCCTCCAACCGTTGAAAAGAAAAAAAAAAAACAGGACCTGATTATGAGGATTTGGTGAGTATGGTGCCTATACGTGGTACAGTGTAGTGTAGTTTGCGATTGCCCACCCATCTGCGCATCATCGCCCCTATGAGGATCCAGATGTACCTTTTGGTGTCCAAGGTACCTTTGCCTCGCCTTGCTGTGAGGTGAGGTGCCTGCCTCTCAGACGGGGAGTGGCAGCTGGTCGTTGCAGAGGATCTCCAGCTAAGAGGGGGGAAAATCCCAACCCAGACCAGAGGCAGGAAAGGCCCCAAGGGAAAGTTCCCCCCTCCACTCCCTCTTTCCCTTCCATTTCATTCGTTACCCACACCCTACCCCCTCTCATTGTGAAGGTACTTATCCGTAGATACTCGGGTACTTCCAATCACGCCCCCCCCCCTTCCCCCTTCACTCTCCCGTCCTTCTCTCTACTGTGTGTGTGTAGAGACTCTCGGTCAGGCCCAATCACGATGTGTCTGGATCCCATTCGGTACTTGCCTAACCTTGCCGGTGACTGATACTTGGCGTCCCGTTGCTTCTGAATGGATGCTGAGAGAGCAAGTGTGAAGGTGTGTGTCCGCCCAACCCAACTCGCCTTTCGTCGAATCGTGCCTGCCAACTCCTGACTCTTGCGTGCCTGCCTTTGCTCTCGTCCTCGCCGCCTTCCAATTCTGATTACATCATTCTAGTGCTGCGATATGTGGGCAGTAAACGGGCGACGCGAGCAACGGCGACAAGTCATGGTTACACAGAGCACGCTTCCCCTCTCTCGCGCGCGACCAACGGCTGAGGTTGTCTCTCTTTTGCGTGTTTGAGGGGTGATTTTTGCTTCTTTGCTCTCCTTTCTCTCTTCCTTTTTTGCTCCTCGGATGCCAAGAAACCAGTCGCGATACCAGACTCGGGCAGATATCCTCAACCTTTGGCTTTTCTTGCCCCCCATCAGACCAACATGATCACGAGAACAAGCCAAGCAGTCTCTCTACTTAACCATGCTACCTCATTTCGCGGCCGTTTTGACCGCAGAGAAAGAAAGAGAAAAAATTCCCATCCTTCTCTACATTCGAGCCTCCGGTTGTTAGACCGTTGAGTAGGAAAAAAGACTGTGACTGGCTGGACCACGCGCAATAAGGTTACGTCCCCAGACTCGTCTCGTTCCAGCCGCGTCAAGTTGCACATACTTATGGGTTTAGACGGGAGCTCAGTCCTCGACTCAACCACCACCACTATGACAATCATCTTTCTTTCTTCCGGATCCGATTCTGGCCTATGGCCTCCCGTCCCTGACTAAGGAATAGGTTCCAACTCGTCACCTTACCGCAATCACGGCCTCCTGGCTTCAACTGCATGGATGCAGGGCCAGGCTGATGGTCTGGCTGACAACCCGAACACTCTTGCTATCAGGACTGCCACAAGGCTCCCATCCTCACCAATGCACAGTACCAAAAGACTCTATCTCACCAAGTATGGGCCACAAAGCTCATCTCTTCCACCGTCGCGGCGGGCGAGTCGTCAGTATCACAGCTGCAGGGCGGGAAGGTGAAGGACAGTCAACGGACCAGCTCCCGGAAGTGGGGCTCTTCTTCTGCCAAACAATCGTCTGGCCATGTCAGAAAAGCAAAGCGTCTTCCGCTGCGCTTGGCTCCTTTTGCGGCCCCTAGACTCCAGACCATCCCCGTCCCTCTCACCTGGACCATGCCACACTGCTTCTTTTCCAATGTCTCTGCAGCAGCACCCGGCCTAGACGTGTCGCAGACGTGCCGCACCTTGTACCAGCTGGCGGCGCTGCACGCCCAAAACGCACTGCACCAATTGACAGATGCTGCAAGAACCGAGAAGGATAGACAGACGGAGACACAGACAGACAGCCTTCAGGCACCGCGTAGCAGATGCAGACGCAGACACAGACAAATCCAGAGAAGGCTTCATCAGATTATGCCAGGTGCCCCACTGCCCGCCGCGTACCTTGGCCGCCAAAATAGCACATCCGTTTCAAGTGTGGACGGCCCAGCATACAACAGACGGGGAGGGGGGGGGGGCCTTGACCTGGATCCGTCGGGCCAATCTTTGTTCAACATGTCTTTCTGCTTTCGCACCGACTTCTCGCCTCGCCCTTGTTGCTTTTCGATTTGATGAGCCTGAAGAAAGTCTTCCTACTTACCGCTTCTTCGATGGCCACTAGAAACCCCCGGCAGCTCTGAAAGACCACCGCTCTGTCATCATATAATCATGAGCCATCGCCACCGCGCATGCCATTCAATATATGTATGGCCAAGAGTCGTGGCAGAAGGGCAGATTGTCCTCCTGGCTCCCCATGTCGCCAGCCGTCCAACGCCTTCACCAAGTGGCCGCTCGCACTACTCTCTGATGGCGTGGGTGCTCGAACTAGTGACACTCCCCGGGGGGGCCGCCAGATGGAAGAGGCGCAGGCTACTTTGTACTGGCGTGCGCGTGGCTGACAATCCAGTCTCGGTCAAGTCGATCGCCTCACTAGCACATCACCCGTTCATTGGCGCTGCATCTTCGGGGTCTTCTCAGCCCAGCAGGGGTTGGCAACACCATCAGCCAGATCCTTGATCCGGTAAACAGCTCCAATGGTTCGAGGCAGCTGGTGTGCGTACCAAAGCTGCGCTGGATCTATTTCTTTTTTACCTCTTTCGTATTCCACGCTTCGATAATGGCAGTCGTCGAAAAAATCTCATCATCAGCTGGTCCAGTCTGGAGAAGATACGAGAGCTGTTTCTCGCCCGGTCCAGCTCGGAGGATTGACCGTTGTTCTGAACTTTTGCTGTCGAAGTTCGTGCAGACGTTGAATCGTTGCTTCCTATTATTGGCCCGTGTCTGCAACGATCACCGCCAGGGTTCCGAGTGGCATTACAGAGTACGGAGTACTATCGACAGTATGAGTTGAATCCTGTCGCATCAACCACTTCTTCGGGACTTGGGCGGAAGATACATTCCTCACAGGTAAAGAATTCTTTCAGATTCATCAGTAACAAGAATCAAGTCGACAAGGGAACTCGTGCGCGGTCAATCGTCTGTTTCTGGTTCCAAGCCTTACGCCTTGGGCCACACACCCCGCTTCCCCAGCCAAAGTGGCTGACAGGCAGACAGGGTCATGAATATGCAGAAACGAGGCAGCACTGCTGTGAGAGCTGCCAAAGAACACGAAGTAACACACAAATACCGCGCAGCGAAAGCAGCGAGGCTAGCAGCCGACTGTACGACGCCGCATCAGCTCGAAAAAAAACCCTGGCACGCCTGATTCTCAAGAGCAAGAGAGAAGGGCGCACAGTCGAGTGTTCTTTTCAGGACGCTGCGCAGGGATCGCCGCCCGGCTTGATGTTGCCAATCACTCCAGGGCAGGGGATGCAGCACAAAGAGTTGGCTACGACACCTGCATTGCGATGAACATAAGGCTGTGAGAAGATATCTCTCCCTCCATCGATGGAAGGTCATCTAGAAAAAAGCAGACGAAACGAGTGCGAATAATGCCAAGCAACCCACCTACGTGCCTACCAACCTTCTGCTCGCTGTTATGCTTCCACGCGAGAATCCCTGGCGTAGGGCGGCTCACTCGATCACCTCTGCTCTCCATCCCAGAATACCTTGTTTCTCCCTCTGGTCTTGGTGATCTAGATGGCACCGTTGCTTTTATGCGCTCGGGGTCATGGGATTGCCACCGTGCTCTCCTCTACCTTTGCATGTGTGTTCCGGCTAGCGGCAGGGCCATTGACATGAGATACACGTTGGAAAGGACGAAAGCAGAGACTTGGTATGGGCTTAGAGTTTGCGCTTTCGTTCCCGCTTGAACGGCACGGTTGAGGGTCATACAGCCGACAGATTCGAGCACAATCTGTTGCCTCTGTCGCCGCTACCGACCTTTCTCTCTTCAAGGTGAAAATGATGCTCTAACTCGGGACCTTGAGGGCAATGTGAAGCGTCTCGGTATGCCTGGGCAGGATTTGGGATGCCAACAGCCCACTTACCTTGGATGATCTGCGGGTCCCCCCCAAAGTTTCGAACTGCCAGTGCGGGAGCTAGCTACGCACAGAAACCTGTTGATATGACGATCAAAAACACTCATCAACAAGAAAGAAACCAAAAAAAAAAACAAGCAATCACTCAATCACTCAACATCGATCGACCTTTGTGACCAGCATAAGAGGGCTGCTGGTCTCCATCGGAGGACATGACGGTATGAGTTTGGACTTTGTCATACCGGGCAGAGAGGCTCGATTGGCAAGGGAATGGCGTCACCAAAGACACCACCCGTATCTGACGACACACACCCTTGGCTGAGATCGATGGGCATCGGGGACGATTGTGGCCAGTTGCCATCGCATCACCTTATTCAGCCAAGCATACGCATCGCGCACTACATTTGACAGCGGTCGAAAGAGCCGCGAATTTCTGCTTGCGTGCTTAGATGGCGACAGCTCGCAAGTTGCAACTGCGTCAAAGACAGAGGAAACAGTGTCCAACAGACGGTAGCTCTTTTGATACGGTCGAAGATGTCTGATCGTCGCACTCAAATCGACGACCCGGGAAGGGCAAGGGGGCCAGACCCCCGCCCCTTGTGGTGGGTCCGGACCATGCTCGAGTCCCGGAGCCAGCTCCCCCATCTCATTGTGTGTGGGTATCCCATGCCATGAGCCTCCATCAAGCATCGCGACAAGAAGCTGGCGCTTGCGTGTGTCAAATATGCCACATTCAAAGCACCGCCAGGATAAGAACAGCAAGAGACACCTGCCAGTCTTTCTTCTATCAAGATGGAGCTTTTCACTCGTGTGCTGCGCAGGGGACATCGAGGAAGAGAGCATTCGTGCCCCTGAGGATCTCACTGGAAGGTGACGGAAGCGTATGCGTGTCGCTGGGACGAGTGTCCACTACCCGACAAGGCCAACCCCTGGTCAAAGGGACCGACCCAAAGAACGGACAATGATTGGCTTTCAAACTCGGTAGGCGGCACCTACTGGGGCGAGGTGTGTCTCTTCGTCTCATTTGGGGCCCGTCTCTCTTCTCACTCTCAGTCGCCAGTTTCTTTTTTTCTGCCCAGCAAAGACGGTGGCTTGAGATTACCACCGGGCCTTGGAGGAAGCCGTTCTTTGGCTCATTCGGGTGGCAGTCCAGCCCGTGGCGAAAAAGAACCACTTGACAGCAAACTGCAAACGATTGCCAGCTGATAATCGAATGTGTATACTGGAAGAGACGGGGTGTGAGGGTCGGATGTCAGGTCAGCGCATCTTGTGTTGGGCGATGTGCGATGTAGGTGTCTTCCATGCCTTCGCGACTGATGAGGATACCGGGTCAGGCACAGGAATTGACTGCCACTTGTTTTTTCTTCAGATCCCGACGCCCTTCCAGAAGGCGTGAAGAATATAGATAAGCGGTAGACACTACTGCGGTACGGATAGAGGCCTTGAGTGCGGCTCTCTCCTTTGCACCAAATTCGCGACATCGGCATGCGTGCCGACGTACGATAACCACGGGGCACCGGTAGTTTGGCCGGGTGTTTTTGATCAGCCTCCATCAAACTCGGGAAACGCGATGTATAGCTGGCCGCCGGCCGCTTTTCTGACAAAGGATTGCACTTTGAGAAACATGATGGGTATTCCCAGAGCCCATAGGTACTCCGTACACGGTACTCATAAGGCCGCCCAGTCTCCGAACAGAGTTGTCTGATGGCCACACATCGTTCGCTGACTGACCACCTGCTCGATACTCTGCCTGATCCGAAGGGACCTGGCATCTGCTCCGTGCAAAAGAAAGGGCAGCTTGTCAAACCCGGGTCCGCGTTGGTCATGGAGTACCCCTGCTCGTTAGTTTTGACCTTGACAGGGGTCTGGGGCGGGTTGCGGGCCAAGCAGAGCGCGGTGGTGGTCGACCGTCGACGTTACTGCAGGACTTTCGGACCTTTGGACTCTGGTAAGGACAGACTGACAGACCAGCCGACTGCAGGTCTCGTGGCTGCGACTTACTCTACAGATAGACTACCGGTACGGCTACGCGACCTATGCCTTGTTGTCTGGGCCTTGGACGGGGATCGAAGGCGTCCTCACAACTCTGCATGAAGAGGGTATTGACACCAAGTTCGCCATACCAACGAAACCACCTAGCAGGCAGCGAAAACTCAGGGTTGCAAGAAGCTGGCTTCGTGCTCTCGTTGGCAGCCAAAGAGGCTAGAGATCTTTGTCTTCATTTTGGTGAGATGAAGATTGAACAAACCCTGGGAGCCCGCACTCTACAACACATGGGTACTGCAATGTGTATCCATACGGATACCAGAGCAGCACCTCTCATATAGACCTAGTACGCCTGGCTTAGGAATGGAGAGGTGGGGATGAGCACAGACAAGCGCCTGCAGGGCATCCCAAAAGGGGACCACGCCAATGAGCTTGGCTCTCCCGACCGGTACGGAGCTCAGAGTGGCCCAAGTCTTTTTGCTCGTAAGTGCTGTGTGTGTGTGGCAGCGTTGGGAAATGGGAGGAAGTGGAGAGAGGGCCGGTGACAGTTTCACCATGTGCTATGAGCCATCTGGTGTTTGCCTGGCAGTGGCAGCCCTCTCTGCCGTCTTCTCGTTGCTGGCTGGCTGTGCTGCTTCTTGAGTGGCAGGGTGGCTTGATCGATTCCTTGTTTCTTCTTGTTTGGAGAAACAGCACCACCACCAGGAGGCACTGAGACAGATGGAGAGACGGGGAGAGCGTGTGAGAGATGGACGGGAAGCATAATGGCTTGTTTGATGGATGTCAACTTTGGTGTCCCATCATCCCGTCCATGGTCCTGCAAGGCGCTGCTGGGACAGTCAGTCAGTCTGGCAGTCTGGCTGGCTGTGGCTTGTGTTCAAGGAAATCCCTGGGATCTGCAGAGCCGGGGGGTAAGGAGGGAGGGGGGTCCAATTCCGTATCTGTCGTGCTGCAACGCCAGGTATCGACATGGTGCATGGGTTTTACAGTCATCGACTTTGCCGCCACTTTGCGCGGGTTCGGGTGCCTTGCCTTGCCTTGCCTTGTCCTTCTTCTTCTTTTTCCCCTTGACCCTGGACTTGGGTGCTTCTTTTTTTTTTCCCTGCCCTCCCGCCCTTTCTCTTTCTTCTTTCTGTTCTTGTTACCGAGTATGGAGTAGCGTGCTGCGTACCTAGGCAGTGTCTCCAGCAGTTCTCCCACTTTCCCCCCTCTGTTCCTCGGTGCCCAGGCTAGGGGGCCAAGAACCTTTGGCCTAGGTACGGTTGTTGCTGTAGCCAGCCCATTTCATTCTACTGCGTAGTGAAGGGGAGACAGACTGGGGTCCCCATCGTGGGCAGCGGCCCATTGGGGATTCTTTGGTCAAGAGTAGACGGGATAGTGCAGTCTGTCTCCCAGCCGAGCCGAGGTTGGCAGGTAACACACTGCGGATTTTGCGATGGGAGGTGTTTATGCTCAAGAATTATGCTTGTGTGTGTGTGTGTGTGTGTGTGCGTGTATGTGCGTAGGGATACGTGTGTAAGAGGAAGAGATGGGAGACGAGGACATGAGTGAGAAAGAGTAAAGAGAGGGCGCGCGTCAAGTCGCGCACAGAGACCACCACCGAAGCCCTCTGCTCTCTCTCTCTCTCTCTCCGGCGACGACGCATCGTTTTTGATCCGAATGAAGTACTTGCCTACACCAACTTACATCACGGGAGGTTTTCCCTCCTTGGTGGCGTATGCAATCACCACGGAGGCTGTCTGAATAGTTGCTGACATGACCCGACCCGACCGACCCTTTGGCTTTGCCTTTGCCTCTCTGCCTTAGCCCGGCCGCGCCAGTACATTAGGTAGACTCGCCTTGCCGTACATACCTACCTACACTACAGACTCACGGGATGGACGGGTAGTAGGGCGAGATGGGATATGTACAGATACATGATGTCTGCAGTGCCCGAAGCGTGTTGGAGAGCGTCAGTACGTACTTTTGCGTTGCCGGTCTGCGACGGATCATTCCAATCCAAGCAAATGTCTTTGGGGGACCACCACCACCACCACGGCCACCACCCACCGATCTCCCATCAACTGGACCTAACGCTCAAAAGCCGGTGGTGCACATGCTCCACTCTACTGCGTACATGCCTACCTGCCCACGGAGTACCTACCAACCTAACGCACCTGGGCTGGGTCCCCCATTCCTTTTCGGCAGGTGCTGGTGAAGCAGAATAATCCCAGCTTTCGGCGCCGGATCAACGTCGGGTTACCTTTTTGACGACATGCGACCCCCTCGTGACCTATCCTAACAAACTGAACGATTCCACGAAATAGACACTGAGAGAGAAGCACCGTCTATGACATTGTCCTAGTTGTAATTGGACAAGCACTTCCTACCTCTGCGTATCTAGCAACCCCTAAATGCTACCGGCCACGACCTTCTTGTGCCGAGCATCTGCCAGATCAATCAGGAACCCCGCCATCGCAGCCGTCACCGTCACCGTCCTTCGACGACCCCTCCAGACCCGAGCTCGATTCTCAACGTCCACCAGCACAATGGCTCCCCATGCTGCCGCCCTCGACTTTGTCGACTTTGTCAACGCATCTCCTACTCGTAAGCACCCATTGACATATTGTTTGCGGCCGTGGACGGCTTCTTTGTCTTCAACCTTTACCCCAGCAACAGCAGCAGCAGCAGCAGAAGCAGCAGCAGAAGCCAGCTAACCGTGCCCCTCGCCCGCAGCCTACCACGCCTGCGCGACCGCCGCCATCCGCCTCGAAAAGGCCGGCTTCACAAAGATCAAGGAGCGCGACTCGTGGAACTCGGCGCTGCGACCGGGAGGGAAATACTACCTCACCCGCAATGGCTCGTCCATCGTCGCCTTCGCCATCGGCAAGAAGTGGAAGCCGGGCAACCCCGTCGCCATGATTGGCGCCCACACCGACTCGCCGACCCTGCGCATCAAGCCCGTCTCCAAGAAGAGCAACGTCGGCTTCATGCAGGTCGGCGTCGAGACCTACGGCGGCGGCATCTGGCACAGCTGGTTTGACCGCGACCTCAGCATCGCGGGGCGCGTCCTCGTCAAGGACGCCGAGGGCAACTTTGTCCAGAAGCTCATCAAGGTCGACAAGCCGCTGCTGCGAATCCCGACGCTCGCTATCCACCTCGACCGGAGTTCTACCTTTGACCCGAACAAGGAGAACGAGCTGTTTCCCATTGCCGGACTGGCTACGGCGGAGCTGAACAAGGGCAGCGCCAAGCCTGAGGGCGACGAGGCCGAGGAGGACTTCAAGCCGCTCAAGGCCATGACGGAGCGTCACCACCCTCACATTCTCGACGTCATTGCCTCCCACGCCGAGGTCGAGCCCGAGGCCGTCATCGACTTCGAGCTCGTCCTCTACGACGTGCAAAAGTCCTGCCTCGGTGGCCTCAACGACGAGTTCATCTTCTCGGCCCGCCTCGACAACCTCAACATGACGTACTGCTCCATCGAGGGCCTCATTGCCTCGGTCCGCGCCGCCGACGTGCTCGAAAACGACTCCACCATCCGCCTCGTGACCTGCTTCGACCACGAGGAAATCGGCTCCACCTCGGCCCACGGCGCCAACTCGAACCTCCTCCCCGCGGTCCTGCGCCGCCTCGCCTCCCTCCCGGGCAGCCGCGACACGGCCTCGGACGGGTCGTACGTGGCCGTATCCTCCCACGATGGCGGGGACTACGAGTCAACGGCCTACGAGCAGACGCTCTCGCGGTCCTTCCTGGTGTCGGCCGACATGGCGCACTCGGTGCACCCCAACTACGCGGGCAAGTACGAGTCCTCGCACCAGCCGGCCATGAACGGCGGCACGGTGATCAAGGTCAACGCCAACCAGCGCTACGCGACCAACTCGCCCGGCATCGTGCTGCTGCAGGAGTGCGCGCGCCTCGCGGGCGTTCCTCTGCAGCTGTTCGTCGTGCGCAACGACTCGCCGTGCGGAAGCACCATCGGTCCCATGCTCAGCGCCAAGCTCGGCGTGAGGACGCTGGATCTGGGTAACCCGCAGTTGAGTATGCACTCTATTCGCGAGACGGGCGGTAGCGCGGACGTGGAGCACGCTATTAAGCTGTTTGAGAGCTTTTATGAGCGGTTTGGGGAGTTGGAGGAAAAGATTCTTGTCGATTAAGCAGTCCCCGTTTGGGGGGACGCCAACTGAGGTCATTTCGGTCATTAGCTTGGCTTTGACGAGGCGGGCGTAGTTGTAGTCGGTTTGTAGTTGTAGTAGCGAGTTGCCTTGGAGTTGTTTGGGTGATTGGGACGAAATACAAATGTTAATTGAGTAAAGATGATCTCATCTCACTGGTGCTACCTCAGGATTGTGCTCCTTCAAGAGATATGAGAGTGAACATGATGAGTGAAGAATGAGAGATTTGGCATAGTATGGCGTTCTTGCTTTTCGAAAAGGGTGGTTGAGATGAAAGGAGGAGAGAGGTGCTTGACTGGCTGGATGACTGGTCGTTCCTTCCTACTCCCATCTTATCTACGGATGGGATCTCTGATGGGATCTCTAATGGGACCCTGACGGCTCCGCTGGCTTTTTTGCTTGCAGCCTCCCTATATTTTTCTCGTCTACTACTTTGTCTTCTCTGCGAGGTCATGCAAGCGTTCACCTTTCAAAATCGCGACCAACCTCGACCTGAATCTTACTCAACAAACCCGACTTCGCCTCGAACGCAGCATATGCTCAACATATGCTCAACATATGCTCACCCGACTACATCGAAACCCGGACCATCGACTTGAAGTCCTGATTTGAGTTCCAGAGCACCAGAGCATTGTCTTTCTTGGAACAATTCTGGAACGCCTGCTCGCGATTTCGAGATTTCAACT